ATACTTATCCCCTTACTTATCCATTTCAGTGTTTGGCATTTGTTATTGCCATGCCCACGGCGACATCCGCTATATGACTTGCGATAAAAGGGAATTCAGGTACAACACCAGTCCTAATTATATCGGCTTTATGGCAATGCCTCATTTACTAGGCCAACGTAGATGTAGTATGTGGTATGTGTTGACAAGACACGAATTCTTCAATGGAGGCCCGAAGACCCGATTGCAAGCTGTGAAATTTGGCTGCTGGGGGAGCAGCGTTATCGTCAGTTACAAGAACAGGTTCGCAGGAATGTACACTTTGGAAGTGAGTGATATATATAACTGGTAACTGTAGAGTATGTACCAACTTATTTTAATGTTTTTGGTTGTTGCATAACGTTCACATGATCTAACTAGTTTCAAGGTATTGATTCGTCTGCTAAGATTTATTCTCGTTTCATTACAGAAAAGGCATATCGTTCGAATTTTCGTGTGGTTTTTTATTGCTTATTTGTCAAAACTTCTTACTACGTATCTCTACTATAATTTACATTATTAGGGCCTATTTCAAAATTTCAAATATAATCTTTGCTTTAAAAAATTATAATTTAAAATGTTACCATATACCCTGTAAATGTGCTTGTACTGTCTATCCGGGGACTTAAGAGAAACGATTAACACTTGTACAAAGTTATATGGAAAACGGACAACGGTTCCTCGCGGACTACTTTTCCATGCTGCGCACGCAGATTTTTTTTTAAATATCCTCATGTTTTAAGATTCTATAAATAATGTCTTATCAAAGCTTTCATTATTATTTTTGTGCTTTTTAATAATAACAGGTAGACGACGGCCCTGGAATACCCGTAATCTTAAGGACAGACATTACCGCACCAGCATTTCTGTTTGCAGGGACATACTTTCGCATTACGGTTGTGTGGCTAAATGCCCACATACCAGGGTATTACCTGTCTATTGAATGCATATTCTTCAAGATCAAGCTCTATATTTCCCGTCACTGTATATTTTGTGTTAATTAAACAAAAATGGAGAAAACTAAAAAATATTAGACCTTACAAACATTTAAAACAATCATTTGGCTTGCCACAGATATATGTAGAATTCAGATAAGACCCCGCGTGGGCGAGCCACGCCCACTTATAATACCCCTCCCCCCAAAGTCCAATTTTGACACTACCATCTTTAATTGCATATATCTCCATCTTCACAGGGTTTACAGCTATAAAACTGCATGAATATTTTAGGCACATATGGATAACTCCAAATCAAGTTTCAAAAGTTACTGTTGTATTAAAACAGGTACTGAAAAATACCCCCAAAGTTGGCTATTTTTAAGGCAAAAAATCGTGGTGTATTCATTCAAGTCTATGTAGACAATGGGTTTGATTAATTTATTACATCTTGGAAAAGGCTGCTAAATCATCCTTGCGTATTAAGAAGCGAACTGAAAATAAGCCTAAAAAAAGACCTAATAGAATGAGAAAACAGCCGTGGTTTGACGGCACTTGTGCTGAAATACGACGAAATGTAAAATACCTAGGCAAACTTCTTCAAAATAACCCCAAAAATAACTTCATTTCATGCACATACCATGAAGTTGCAAAAAAGTATAAACAAGTAATTAAGCAAAAGAAACATAACCACAAAAATGCACTCTTAAATGACCTGTTAAATCTTGAGGAAAAAAACCCCAAGGCATTTTGGCAAACCCTTAAAAAACTAAACCATGATAAAGAGCAGCAAAACTTAATTAGTCCAGATACATGGTTTAGCCACTTCTACCATTTGTGTGGGATCCCTCCTGAAGGTGACCATGCCTTAGATAATGAAATTAAATCTTATGAAAGCCTACCAGGTGAAGCAGTACTTGACAAACCTATTACAGTGAAAGAGGTTAAAAATGCCATTAAATATCTAAAAAATGGGAAATCACCTGGGGAAGACAAGGTGAGAAACGAAATGTTGAAAGCAGGAGTACAGTATTTTGCAGTTGTGCTCACAAAACTCTTTAACATGGTGCTAAATACATCTGAAATCCCTGAATCTTGGAACCTAGGAATAATAATCCCGCTTTTTAAATCAGGAGAACATATGAACCCTGAAAACTATAGAGGCCTCTGCATAACTAGTTGCTTAGGGAAATTATTTAATTCAGTTTTAGCACACAGGCTCATCCAACATATTAACAATGAAAACAAATTAAGTGAAGAACAAGCAGGCTTCAGGCCAGGTTATAGAACAACAGATCATATCTTTACTTTGAAATCAATAGTCAACAGGTATCTAAATCAAAACAAAAAGCTATATGCCTGTTTCATTGACATGAGAAAAGCCTTTGATTCAGTATGGCACAAGGGACTATTACTGAAATTGCTTAAACTCGGGATTAGGGGGAAATTCTACCGTGTCATAAAAAGCATGTATAGTAACACCAGATTAGGCATCTCGGTAGGTTTAGGCTACACTACCCCATTTCTATCAAGATTAGGAATCCGCCAAGGGGATAATCTTAGTCCCACTCTCTTTAATTTATACATGGATGACATCAAGGAGGCTTTCCTCTCTTGTAACCAGCCCGGTGCAATTAACGGACTGAATCACATCTTGTATGCTGACGACCTTGTCCTAATATCGGCATCTAAAGATGGTCTACAAAATAAACTAATGGCACTGCAAGCTTACTGTAAAAAGTGGAAACTAAACATAAATGAAAAAAAGTCCAAGATCATGATATTTAATAAAAAAGGAAAATTAGACTCTGCAACAACATTTACAATAAATAATATAGCCATTGAATCAGTAAAAGAGTACAATTATCTGGGATTAACCTTTACAAATACAGGTTCAATGAAAAAAGCAATTGAAAATTTAAAGAAAAAGGCTCTAAAAGCAACTTTTGCTCTTAAAGCAGCCCTGTCCTCAAACAAGATAACATCTCCCACACTCAACTTAAAACTTTTTGACAAAACCATCAAGCCCATCTTACTATATGGGTGTGAAGTTTGGTCTGAAGAAATATTTAAGGAAAAACAAATGTCACTTACAAAACTAAATAAATTTCCTTTTGAACAACTACATCTAAAAATGTGCAAATGGGCACTAGGTGTACGAAAAAATGCTATGAACAATGCCTGTAGAGCTGAATTTGGAAGATTTCCACTCTATTCTGATATTGCAAAACAGACACAGAGATACAGCGCCAGACTGAAAGAGCTACCTTCCAACAGATTGGTCAAAAACATTTATGAACAGGAGCAAAAAGAAAAAGGACCCTGTTGGTCTGAATCAATAAGAACATTTATACAGTGTTGGGGTCTGGGCCATAAAACTGATACACAAACACTAAATAACTTTGAAAACCTAAGAGATGCTATCAACAATAAAATTGAGGAACTATTTTGGAAAGACCTGGAAAGTGATAACTACAGTAAACTCAGGACATACAGATTACTTAAAAAAACCTACACCCCTGAAAAATATCTGTCAATGAAAGTCACCCCATCAGAAATGAAGACTATTGCAAAAATGCGGATTAGTGACCACAAATTAGAAATTGAACGTGGCCGCTATACGTCCCCTAAAACCCCTACTGAAAATCGCAAGTGCCCTCACTGTAATGAAATTGAAACGGAGATCCACTTTTTACTGAAATGTGAAGAACATAGTGACAGAAGAATTAGATTAATGATACCTCCTGAGCAGAAAACAGATCATGAAAAAATTCAGTGGCTGCTCAGTCCAAAAAGTGAATCGTGTTTGAGAACATTATATCTTTATATAACTGAAAGTTTGAAAAAACGACACACCCATCAATAGCAATAGTCGTTTTATTCTGTGCTGCTTCCCAGTAATCATTCCATAAGTATTGTATAGATTTGTATAATTTGTTGCTAAGATTGTTATGACTAGTGTAGAGAGCCTGTAAAATGTAATATGTATGCATTTTAGTGCTCAATAAAGATTATTATATTATATACCATTTTGCTCTACAATGATGTTACTAAATTAATAGGGCTGGTGAGCATGGAAAGTGGATGTGTACTAATGAATATCAGGTCAGTGGGTCATAGGTCAAGGTCACTGGGCTTCATTTTTGTAAATTGCTATATATGGACTTTTTAATTTGCATGGACAAATAGTTTAGAGGAAATAAACCTTAGATTCTGTTACTTTGGATAGGCACTGGCAATTAACTTTAGAGTTTACATGATAATTTTAATATTTAAAAAAAAATATCATCAATCTGGTGAATACAAATTAAAATCATAGTTTAATAACGAATTTCTTTTTGGTGCAATATTTATCATATAGCAGATCAGAATGTGCCATAGTATTTATGAGAGCAAAGCCAGAAAAGATCTTTTTAATTTTCAAGAGTCTTTTTTTTTATCCACACCACTTTTTGGTAACTATTTATAAGCATACAGTAACTAAAAAATTATTCAAATTAGTTTATTGTTGTCTCAGATGAATAATTACAATATATATATATATCACAAAATTATAATACAGCAATACATGCAAAGCAGTGCAACATTAGTTGTGATCATTACAATCTATATCATAATGTAGCAAAACAAGATAAGTTTCTATTCAAAAAGCAAAACTAACACAACTGCAAAATATATCCTGGTGTTACGAAACATCTTTGCAGTTTTATATCAAACATTACAGCTCATAACATTAAAGTTTTTTATACATTCAAAAATAACTGATTTGTCCTTCCTGAATAGCCTGTAACCCTCCTTATTGACATTTCATTCTCATCCTCGTGCTCACAAATGTTAGGTCCTTCTGGCCTGTTTTTTGTGCCTTTCTAAACTCCTTCAGTAAAAACTCCTGTAATTTATTTGAATATAGTTTCAAAGGTTTAGATTTAAAGCTCATCCATTGTGTAACTCAGTAAGATATTCAAGAGTTTTCTCACAGCTGATATGCTTGAAGTTTTTCTTCAGTAAGGTTGTTGGCCCACTAGACTTTAAGTTGATCAAAAGCTGTTTTTTTGGCACATTTCATAACTGTGGTCTAAAAAAAAAAAAAAAAAAAAAAAAAAAAAAAAAAGGACCTGTGAATTACACTCTTGGTAGCAAAAGACTTCAGGGAAGACCTCTCTGGACAAGAAAACATTTCCTTGTTTGTGATCTTGCTCGGTATAGACCCAGTTGGCACAGTGGCCTCAGAAAAAGCCAAATTAACTTTAACATCAGTATCACTCATATTAAAACTGCTCAAGGAAGAGAGACACCTTTTCTCATGTTGTAGGAATCAAGAAAGCCAAATTGTTGTAATTGGACACTCCAGTCCACGCAGGTTTGGAAGACATCTGTCAAGCTGGATGTAGAAAAATGGCAGCAAAAGAGCACCCCTTCACTCCATCTGAAGAAACTAGGGCCTCATGCATCTCCTCAGCATTTGTTATATTGTGGCTTTCATTTACATACATGCCTTTCTACAACATCAGTCATTTCCACACTAGTTGGTTGGTCAGTGACATTTTCAGTTTCTGCAAGGCTTTGAACTCTTTTGCTGACCATAAGATCACTGTGTATCAAATAACACTTCTCAAATATGCCTGAAATATAAATATAGCATACTATAGACACATGAAAACACTTATCTCAAAGTTAATTGATACATTGATGTTCAAAACATAATTTATTATCCCATTTGTCCATGTTTTATAAGTAAGACATGATTTCGAATATAAATTATGATGAGCCTAGCAATTTTGTCAGGACCAGCCCTAGCTTCAATCTAATTTCAATTGTAACCCTTAAATTTATTTTACCCAAATACCCTTAAACCTACATAAATACCCACACAAATATAGCTTAAAAGATTATCACAGGTCCTTAGGCTGCAATTTCATTATTTGAAAGGGGCATTTTTCTTTAATAAAAGAAAAAAAATGAACCGTTTACCGTTAAAAATTTGCACCTAAATCATTTTCCTGAGTGAACTTTTTTCTGGCTTTGGGCCTGTATTAAAATACAAACAAATCCGTTGCTTACCTGAACCAAGTGGCACCAGTAAATGGATTTTTGTCTCCACTGACATCTGCAAGTTAATCCCATGATATATTTCGTTATAGGCTCGTTTTTTTTCCTGTGTGGATGGTTTCCAGCACAAACCAAGCCCATATCTCTGTGCTGGTCTCATGGTGTAACCCATTCATTCTCCCAAAGATACTTGAAAATGTCCAATTGCGGTCATCGGAGACAAAAGAATCCACATCTGACAAGAATCAGTTTGCTTTCGTAACTCAAGCTGTTTTACTTCACGTAAACGCGACAAAGATGACTGTTGATATCTCTGTTGCAATTTTTCAATACACTACATGTTTTTTCATATCTGTAGGCAGAGTATAAACCACATGATATACGACTTCCTTGAGGAAGACTTGCAAAGACACAGTCTGCGATTTCCGCCATGTTGGATAATGACGTTGTGTTGTTCTGACATTAGTACATTAGTTTCACATGATTTTAAAATGTGTCAGGTGCTTGTTTTAACAAAAAAAAAAAAAAAAAAAAAAAAAAAAAAAAAAAAAAAAAAAAAAAAAAAAAAAAAAAAAAAAAAAAAAAATTAGAATAGGTTAAATGGAAAAAAAAGGTCAACTTACAGTGTTTTAGACCATTTGTTGACTTGAAAGAGATAGCTGAAGTTGAGTGCACCGATATACATGTATGTGTCTGGATATATTTACGAAAAATGAAGAAATTAGGTCATGTTCTATCTGTTACAACGGACAAGTTGTAGAACAGCAGTAAATTTTGATTTCATGTATAAATAGATTAATGAGTTATCTGTTGGTCCTGAACACCCTTTATCCCAAAGACCTGTGAAGATGAAGACATTGTCAAAAATAGAAGGGGGGTGTTCAAAGCATGTGGTTCGTAGCCCTAAGAAAAACGTTTGGTTTGTTACCATGGAAACAAAGAGAGTGAAAAAAGTGTATATCATTTTAATCCCCTATCTTTAGGTTATAATATATCACCAAACTAATTCATTTAGTGACACCTGTATAAACTGTAAGGCCAATTAATATAACCCTGTTTTTCAGGGAACTGCGGCTAACTTTTCTATTCAAGGTGGTTGAGGGGTTAGTTCCAGCGATACCCCCCGACACTTACTTCGTACCAGTCTCTAACAAACGTCGTATAAGGGCTAAATCTTTCATTGACTTTGACTCTGAAAACATTGTGAAAGTACTAATAACAGTCGCTGCTTTCACTTACAACGTTGTAAAACACTCGTCAGAAAAAACTCTTTCTTCGTCAGAACAGTTTCCGATTGGAATGGTCTCAGTGACCAACAAGTAAACGTTGAAACTGTTGAAAGCTTTAGATCAGGACTGCTATTTGACTAAGTTTCCCATGCGCTCTCTTTTATCCGTCTACTTCATACCAGTATTGGTGTCTCTAGACGTACACGAACAGATACAGAATTTTTGGTTGATAACCCCCCCCCCCCCCCCCAAAACTGTCACTGGCCATATTTCTGTAAGTAGGGATTTGTTTCAGGAAATGTTGCAGCCTCAGATATTGTTCATATAAAGGTTCAAACACACCATATATGGTGTAAATCCGTTCACCCCCACCTTGCCGCATTTTCTACATTTGGTCTGGTTTTCTCGTGGACGCACACTTAAATGTGTTTTTTTTATGCTATACCGTGCAACAACGTCGCGCATTAATTAACGTCATTTAGTTGCACACTGCGTAAGCTGGCGGTCTGGCGATCCAATATAATTCGAAGTTCCAATCACCAAAGCAACAAAACTAATATCATTTTAACCCAAATATGGATGCAATCGTGTCTTCTGTGCATGTATAAAACTTACGATAAATATATCTGACAGAATTTTTTTTTTCATTTTTCTTTGGGAGGGTGACCTCTGGTAAGTGTAGAAGGAGCATTTATCAACTACTTATAATGATTTCAATCTTTTTTGTTGTTGTTGTGAAACAGTCACACGATCTGAATAGTTTAAAGGTGTATTTTTTTTGGGGGGGGGGTGCGTGAACCAACCCACCACTTTTTTCTAATCATTCTCAAAGATAGTGTTCCCTCGATTCGTCTGCTAAGATCAATCCTCTTATCAAGGCATATCATTAGAGTCATCGTACTTTGCTCATTATTCGAGTATTGTCACAGGGCTACTTGACGGCCCAATTTACAATTCTCCGTTCAATTATACAAATTTTTGCAGTTTGCGTGTCCTGACAAAATATGTTCATGTTCTTTGTCAAAATAGGTACAGGTTCATTGCCAAAATAGGTATAGGTTCGAATTCGTTCCAGATGTTTATTCTACTTGTACTGCCATTGAAGCCCTGTACAAAGTTATTTTCAGAAAGGACAACAAATTAATTATCCAAAGTATAAACACAAGAGAGATATGATGTTTTATATAATGTTTATATGTTAATAAGATTTATAATAATGCTGACAATATTTCATTGAGGTACTGGCCATTTGTACCTCTGCTTCTTTACTAAGAGTAATTTAAAACACTATCATACCAAAACTTCTTTTTACTTGCCTATAACGGTTATGGGAAACGGACTACGTTTCCTATAGCGGACTACAGTACATCTTCATGCTACGCACCCATTTTTTTTTTTTTTTTTTGCTATTCATGCTTTAAAGATTCTATAAATAATGCCTGAACAAAGCTATCATTATTTTTGTCTTTTTTATGATTATAGTTACATGTAAGAGATGAAATACCTGAAATCGTAGAGACAACAATTACAGGACCTCAAGACCTGCACGATGGGCCATTTTTTCGCATCACGGTTGTGTGGCTAGATTCCCACATACCAGGATGGTATCTCTGTATTGAATGCAAATTCTTCAGGATCAAGCTCTATATTGCCCGTCACTGTATGGTGATTGTAATCCCCCCCATTTGGTGCGACCGTATTCTTGGAATATGTGGCGACTGGAACACATTCCCACTTAACGACGAGACCATCTTAACCATTCCGGTGAGCGATGCTACCCCTTGGGGACCCCTCGTAGAGGAGTCTTCTGCTTTGTGGCCGTAAGTTAAAATATTTTGTATTAGCCATTACTGGTAAATTGAGTGCTCTAAGCGAGGCGGGAAACTAACCCGACTTCTCCCCCCCCCCCCCCTCCTGTATTCGAATTTTTTTTGTATTAACCATTATACCGCTGAATACAGGGCATTAAGAGAGGGGGGAACTAACCCTACTGCTTCAATCCCCCGTGGAAAACTGTTTCTACCGCTCTAAAAAACTGTTATAATAGTACGTTTTTTGTAGTATGCAAGACTTAAAACAGTATTCTTCGGGCGTTATATTTTTTTCTCAGTCCCTGGAAGGGAACAGAACTCGCCATTTTGATTTATGAAAGGAGGGGGGAGCGCCCTGGTTTCACCTATGATTACATATTAGTTGAAATTGAATAACTTTATTTTTCTTATCATTGCTATTCATGGACTGCCTTTATTAAGGATCCACGTTAATGTTAATTTCACTTTAATGAACATCATCCCAGAATTCATTGAAAGCTAAATGTATAACACTTAACCCTCTTTTTAAAATGTAGTGATATTTCGTAACAATATCACCACTTGCGCACCAAAATTGATAAGACGAAATGCTAGCGGAGTCATTAATGACACATTTCATTTCAGGTGGTAAATGGACAAGACCCCAGACGCCGCCAACTACTCCGAACTACTTACCCTCGTATCTTCCTACGGCTGGTTAAATGCCTTGAGACAGATTCATAATTCTTTCTTTACTTTTTTGGCACGCGTTTGTCCAAAATTGAAAATAACAAGCATCACGGTTTATACACTTTTGCAGTATGAAGTGTGTATAGCCGTTTTTGCATAATGTTGTCTTCGATAGTGCCCAAGAGCGTGTTGCAAATATAAATGAAGTGGTGAGCGTAATGATATCGACCAATGATTTAAAAGCTAGGGCCATTATGTCTTTATTTGGAAGTGCACTGTGCATGTATGTAAATGTTAACTTTTTCTCGAAATAAGTAATTTCGTAATTAAGTAATTAATAAAGTCGAGGTACAGCATAGAATTCGCTTATAATTACTAGCATGAGAATCGCATGACATATTTGGAGACAAGCAATGTCAAAATTATTACAGACGTTTGTGCTTTCTTGATAATGAAGAAAAGGTCAGCTCATGGACGTGCATGTAATAGGACACTAAGGGTACTGTATTCAGTCGATGGTGTGAGCTAAAGGGGAGTGCTGGACGCCCCCTCAAACCTTACATCCAAATATATGGACATAAGACCACTTGGGACCCATATGATGTCCTTGAAACTATTCAAATAACTAGCAAAAAACATTTCTCTTTTCGTAATTTCGTAGTCTTGCAACTTGAAAACATCCTTGGATTCTGAAGGGACCTTCCGTCAGCGAACTAAAATGATCTTTACTTAAACGGAGGCAACCCTGCAGCGGCTATAAGACAAAATGATAAACGGAAATCAACAATGGACACTGAATATTGAAATCGGTGGTGCTCGCAATCCTTTTGGTTCTTCGTTGACTTTGCTTACATGTTTAAATATTGACAACCATTGAAATTTTTGTATATAACCCTGAGGACATATAATATGGTTATTAATATAGAGGTGTTCACGTTTCTTAATTTAAGCTATAGCCTCTATGTTTTCTTTGATTCATTTCTACAGTTTATTTCTACAGAGTGGTCAAACTGAGTGGGAAATTGTCAATCTTAGTTATGCAACTGTACACCATAAATGTTAAAACGAAAAAAGTATGTACCGTTGAAGCAAAGAAATAATTGAGAAAAATTCTAGAAACAAATTCTGCAATGTACTATGGCATTTATAGCGTATGCGGGTGCTTATTATTCGAAACGTGTATTACATGGTATCATATAATTTTGATTTTTTAAAAGCATTGGTTGTCGTTCAAATCTCCTGTGTTTCGCCGTGCTTGTGCTTAAGCATAATAAAATGTTGTTAAACATATGTACTTTGTTTTTCGTAATTTTTGTTTGCAGCATGCATTGATAAACATTGATAAACAGTGCTCGAGAATTTCGTTCTCGAGGAAAATATATTTT